AATTAAAATATTTTTGTCTTGCGGTTGTGTTTCACTTTTAAAACATTATGCGTCCATGCATAATCCAAAACAGAGATTTAAAACATTCAACCGAGTCACAAACATTCAGAGGTTTATTTTTACTGTTTAAATTGTTTTTAAATTTAATTTGTTCTACGATTAAATTATTTTTATATTAATATAGTTGTTTTAAAGTAAATATAAGTTGTTTTATTTTATATTAACTCGACTAGAATGATAATATCAATGATCATAGTTCTATATTTAAATTTGAAATACCTACCTATACAGACTACATAATGTGCCTACTATATGTTATTGTTGTTGAATTCGATAATTATTTACCTATTCCCATGGGCGGATAGGCTCATCGGGAAATAGGGATTTCCCCGGAAGGTCCCTCCCAAAAAAAAATTTAAAAAAAAAATAATAATATAAAAGTAAATTTTTATAATACTGGCTGTCGCTCTGGCGGCCCGTAATGCGATGCGTATTTGAAATATTTGTACCTAGGGGCTTCTGTATAAACTCGTCGATATTCGTATTGATGCATATCTACTTTGTTGTGTGTACTATTGTGCTGAAACTAAATTATGTATAAAATGTAAATATAAATAAACATAATCGTAAATCGATGTTCGAATAACAAAAATAAGCAACAATAATAATAATTAATTTTTCGATTAGCGATACCTAAGTGTGACATATCTACTATCTACGTTTATATACATATATTCATATCGTAATAAATTCGATTTGTTCTATTTTTAAACAACGCTTGAATGTCTAAAATATCATCTTCTCTTAAGTCAACATTAATAGACAGTTTATAACTATAAACCATAAGGTAGGTAAGGAAGTTCAATAATATAATTTACCTATTCTTACTCTATGGTATTATTTAATACTTCATCAGGTGTTATTATTTTTAGTTTACTTTTCCTATTGGGCATTGGCTATAATTGTGACTGTGGCATTTTGCAAATATTGTGTTTTAATTTATTAAATAATATATGTGATATTATTAATTATATCTAAACAAAATTTCGAAAGGGGGGCTTCAAAAAGAAAAAAAAATGGACCAAGATTTGTGCCAACGATAAAACTCAAAAGAAGTTAAATTCTTTTTATAAACAATATAATATGGCCATAGGCGCTAAGTATATGTAGCCCTATTAAATATATCTAGGTAAAAACTAAAAAAGTACCTTACCGCCCATGATTACACCCAGATTTCGGTAAAATACTTTTTTTAAGTATTTTGAGTACATATTCCGAATACCTACCTAAAAAAAAATATTCAAAATACACACCTATTACACAATACTTTATGATGATGGTATTTCGGATTTCCTAATATTTTTTGAATATTTTTTTTAGTATATTTCGATGACAAAAATAATAGTTCATAATGTTCATATTTTATTAAATTATATATTGATATTTATGAATGAACAGATAAAAAGATTAATATTCTTGATAATATACACATGCATGTTACTACCTATATTAGTTATAAATTGTACCTATCAATCCAAATTTTGTAGTATTGTGATTCATTTAAATATTAAGTTTGGTAGATGTGACATTTTTTCCTAAAACTTAATAAAGAAGAATTACACTCGCAATAGTTGATGTTAACATTTTTGACATATAATACTGTATTTCAGTACCTATTTGTATATAGTTATAATACTAATACAATTATAACTGTTTGTATAATTGTATACAACGTATAACAGAAATAACTGACCGATGTAATAACAGTTAACATGTGCTAAATTGTGTTTTTATCAAAATAATATCTTTTATTTTGAATAAACAACTAACGAAAATTGTATAATATCAAAGTAAAAAATAAAAATATTCAAAAATATAAATAATAATAAAAGTTATTGAATTTGTATCTAAAAAAAAAACTGAAAATAATAAATAATGAATCATATGTAATTTATAAAGAAAAATAAGGAGATGTGATTGAATGCTAAAAAGTAGGTATTCGAAAATACTGTATTTAGAATACTTGTAAAAAGTATTCAAAATTCTGTAATTGGAATGCTACCCAGGTAGCAGTAGACTTAGGTAGGTAAGCCAGTCTAGGTATACCACCTATATTAATATAATGATTAATTTGCTGTTTTACATATGGCTAGATACTCTGTATTCTGCAACATAATTATATTTTTTTATTGTATAAAATCAAGTTATTATGTATCTACCGATTTGCAATTGAATTAATTCGTTTTAACCTAAATTGGCTACATAATCTATGCATGATACATTAATTTAAACACTATCCCCATTCCCCAGGTAAAATAACTTTTTAAGTTTTCAATCTATTTAAAAATGTCTCTAAGTTTAGAATTCTTTTTTTTTAAAGCTTATGTATTTTAGTTTTGATGTAATATGTATTGTTCTATGATAGTAATTAATAGTATAGTACAAGTAGTAGCCAGTAGGCAATGCGTAAGTGAATACGGAAAGGTATATGTACTGTATGTGTATAGCACATATAGCATAATGAAAAAAGTGAAATAATACCAAAATGTCCACAATGGTAAATAATAGAAATAATTTCAAGAGGCTAACATTTAAAAAAAAATCTATAAATATGTTTGTGTATTACAATAACTATTATATACTTAATTACTGAATTATAAATTTATTTAAATCTTATAAAATTATAAATTACAATTTTTAAAAATATTTACGGAAGCATTCATTTTTAATTATAACTTACAAGGTATTTTATATCTATTTAATATTTTAAATATAAACTAACTATTGTGTGTGTTTAAATGTTTAATGATGTTATTATTTTTCCAAAGGGGTTTTATGTATCATTTTTTAGATGTGGAACTTAAGCTCGAAATCCTGATTAATCTAATACTAAAGTTCTTAGCCAGTAAACTATTCTGAACATATCATCACAATTCACTGTTAACTTTACAGAGTTTTTAAATTTAATATTAACTTATAAAACATGTTCAATTTCTAGTTATGGAAAATCTGCATGTAATATTTAGGTGTTTTCTCCACAAATGTAAAGGCATATTTAACAACAGCAAAAAACCTATGCATTTGATGCTTTGCGAGGAATATAAAAATAAAACCATAGATGTTAATCATTAATAAATATGTAGCAATAATTCAGTCCATAATATTTATAGTTTGCAGTTTTCTAATACACAACCAACATATTAATAAATACCATATTAAACATTTTAAGTTGTAAAGAAAAAATAAAAGCAATAAATATAGTAATATGATTTGTTATAGTTCATACATATATTAGTTATTTTATACAAACTGACACTACACAGTGCCACAACTAGAGGGCCCAGGCGAGAGTTAAATTTTGGGGCCCCCTATTTCAAACCTTTAGGCCTGAATAGGGCCCTCAGCACCACCTCTAACTGTGGCGCTGATAACACACTTTCATTATTTAATTTGAACTAATATACTTATAAATTTGAATTGATTCCAATTGATTTTATAAGTTATTTGTTAACGTTGTGCAAAAGGGAAACAAGTGATACACATTTTGTGGTCAATTTGGATTATATAATATTAAAAATTACATAAAACTCATTAGATAATTCGGCTTTTTTTAAAAATATTTTGATATAAATATTTTCAAAAAATATATATATATAATGACTAATATAAAATATATTATGTTATACACTTATTTAAATTAATCGCTTTGGAATTTGAACACTTAACCACTTTTAGCACACTACATTTATTGCTTAATATATTCTGTAATGAAAAATTGATATTCTATAAATTTATTTTAAATACGTCCTAATAAAAATTACAACGATCTTAGTCTAAAATAAATTTAAGAGATTTATGTAGTTAGTGTTTCAGTTCAAAAATGGGATTTTACCCAGTAAAATGAATGGGTGATTTCTTAAGAGAATGTGGCACCAGCGTGTGTTTTCTCAGTCTTACAAACTTATAATGTAGGAAGCAATTTTTATGTAAATAATAATTCATTTTACTCTGTCATTTTTAAAATTAATGTGAATTGGATCATTATAACATTTAAAGATAATATTATTATTAGAAACTGAACAATTTTTGTACATTTTTAAATTATCATAACTTAATTTAAAATAATGTCAATAAAAGCATCCATTGTGGCCCAGATAATAATCTCATCTTTAAATTGTATTACATATAATAATAACATCCTTTATTTTTGATCCTAGTATCAAATGCCAGTATTCTTAAGTGTTAAAGACTATAATGTAATATTAGCATACTTGTAAAATATTTTTTGTAAGTATTTAAACACTTATTATTATATTCTTTGTAAGTATTTAAATACTCATTATTATATTTTGTATTTAAAAATACTCAATAAAAAATTCTTTTGAACTAGATTTTTAGTTTGGGTTTTTTGAAAATTTTTTTTCCAGCAATGCCATATCGTCAACTACACATATAATTATTACATTTTGATATTGACGATAATGGTAAATATTTGACAATAACTCAAATATAATGGGGTTAATAATTTTTGAATAAAAAAGTAAGTATTTTTAATGTATTTAAAATTGAAATACCTTTTAATTGAAGTACTTTAAATACTTCTAAAAATAATTTTTTAGAAGTATGAATATCAGTAGTTATTCCACTCTTAAGTTATAATAGTATGATTAATTTTATTTTTACAGCAAATTTCATTGAACAACATATATATGAATATTATATATTTGTAGAGATAAAAAAAACCATTATAAAATGCTAACATAAAAATTACATTACATAGTTCTATCACTTAAAGTTATGAATAAATTATTAATTTTATTAACATTTTTAATGCTAGATGAAACATTATTATTAATAATTTATTAAAATTAATGATTATTGAAATTTTATTTAATCACATTTTAATAAATAATAATAAAAATTAATAAATAATAATAGTAAGTTTATATTTATAATGTCAATATGTTATAAATGTACAATAAATAAAATGTTATTACATACAAAAGAGATTAAAAAAAATATATTTTTAAGTTTGAACTCAAAATGAGTTCATTGTTTATCAAGGCATATAATTTATAACATAATTGATTCAAAGAAATGTTTTTAAACACTACATTTTAAGGAGAAGTAAATAAATATATAAATAAAAATATTGATTTAACACAGAACATACAATTTTTAATCACTAATTTAGGGAAAGATCTATAAAATTTTTCCCCTTAACTATTTGAATATTTTGTTTACATTATAAATTAATGTTAATACTAATGATAAACATTAAACATACATAATACATATTAAGAAAAAATTTTACAAATTGAAAATACAGAATTATACTACGACGGTGTGTCTGAATTATTATTTCCATTTTTTTGATCTAATTTGTTACCGTTTGTCTTGATTGTGTATATGAAGAATGTAAGGGCTTCTTTTTCATTAACAGATATGGTTTTAAAATGGTTTAACAATGTCTGAGAAAAAAAATCATGATTAATAAATATTTTTTTAAGATGTATTTATTTTAATTTGTCACAAACCAACAAATCTTAATCCACAAAATATTTCATACTCAAGTTATCTTTTGTATTAAAATAGCAAAATGTTATTTAAGTATGACTTAAATGTTTAAAAATATTTTTTTCAACTGATAAAAACATACATTTTGATATTGTGGACTTTTTTACTATCAATATTTAACAATTCAATAGTAAGTCATAGGTAGACATCTAGTTGAATTTAGAGGGGGGGGGGAGGCTAGAATAATCCAATAATCATTATAATAGTTTTAATTTTAGGATGCCTAAGCCCCCCTACGGCTCTTCAGATATCCGTCTATGTAGTAAGTTAAATAAATACTACGAAACATACAAATAAAATTTGTAAAATAATTACCTCTGCCATTTGAGCTTTATTCAGACTGGGTTTGGTCACTACTTTAAAATGTTTTTTATAGCGCCTAAGCGTATTCATCTGTAGTTGTGAAAAATCTACCTCTGGTGCTTCATCTTGACTAGATGGTTTCAGCGTTCTAGCGCTTTGAATCATACTCTTGTGATGATCACAAATGTAGATGTGTCTTGCCTACAGAAAACATTATTTAATAAAAATACAATAATAACTAGAAGTCTAAATCAAAAAAATAACTACAAATTATAACATACAACTGCGTCCAAATGTAGTTTAAGTTGTCTGACAGTGTTGCGAATTTTTTTACTATATGATGCGTTTCCAGCTTGTCGTTGACAGCGAAATCCATCTTCCTGTAAACAGCAAATCTTATCAAGTGGGCCACGTGAATCTTCTTCACCAGTACTAAAACCGTTTTGATTCATTTTCTAAAAAATAAAAATTATTAATTAATTAGATTCTGAAAAAAAAAATTGTACAATTAGGTACTAGTAAGCAAGAAAAAAGAACATACAACTAAAAATAAATAAATTGAATATTTTTCTAATTAGTATTGAAAATAATGCCCATAATATGCACCTAGTTGAGAATTAAATAATAAATCTCAAATATAAAAATTATTTTTATTGAAGATGAAATATAAACTTGTTTAGTTGTATGTGTTATGTTGGTCATTACTTTTGAATTAAAATTTTAAGTTAAAAATCATCAATGTTTATAATAAAAACTGATAAAATTAAAAGCTTTTAATTCAATACAATAATCAATGGATTTTAAATATAAGCAATAATATAATAAATTACATAAATAGGTATATTGTATATCATACATAATATATTAATATGTTATATTATGATAATTGGTTTTCTAATAAGTTGTAAGTTGAATTCTTTATTATCAGCGGGCAGCCTACTATTGTTCTATGCTACCATCATTATCCTTATGATAATTCATAACTTTTCATGGATAAACAATCTGAATGCAGCTTTGCATGATAATTAAATATTTATTTTATGATGCATACTAAGAATGGAAATGTTTAAATTTTGATTTTATCAATTATCAATAGACTAAATTTTCAAATATTTAAGTTACAGTCATCACTCATTACTCATAATATTTTAAACTATTATACATACTGAAATATCTAAATTAAGAGTGACATAATATTATCTTACCTTCAACTATATTAATAGGTTAAATCTAATTCAAATATAAAACTCAAAATTGTGGGTATTGTGTTTAAATTACATTTACTGAACAGGATAAATTCAATGTAAAAATATTGATTTTCACACTTCATAAAATAAACAACGATTTTTCTTACAATATGGTGAAAAAATTATAGAAAATGTACAACACCACGATTTCGGATTCAACGTTTCAAATTTACAAATTCATAAAAATGTAGAGTTTAATGGCAAAACAATTTTTTTCATTAACTTGATAATAATCTGTAATGATACCGTCTGCTCGTTTGTTTACGAGTGGAAACCATAATAGATAGGAAAATATGATAAAGTACTATTGATAAGAATATTAAGAATTAAGATATCCAAGTGAAAAATAATAAATAATATTGTGATAATGTGATGAAAGATGAAACAATTTATGAAAGCCCAGCTCAATTTTGCGAGCACGCTGAATTTCCAGTCTCTAAACGTATTTTAACACAACTCAATAAGCTATAATTCCATGTACAATATAGAAAAAAATTTAAAATTAAATCCATCAAATTTAATAATTTATGTATCCTTCAGATGAATAATTTTACTTTAGACCTTTAAAATAATATCAATAAATTAAGATAATAATATGATCCACCAATTTGCTCCTATTATACCATTACATAATGTAAGACAATTCAACAAAAAAAGAATAATAAATCTTAATAATATCTGCAATACATGGATGTATAGATGCTGTTATTTAATTTTTTGTATTCAAAATGAAACGTGCTAGCGCCCAGTAATATTTATCAAATGCAGACATTGACACATGTTTGATTGTAACTTAAAGTACTAAATATTTTTCGGTATTCGTTTATATGTGACCTACCGAGCAAAAATCGAGTTTAGTATGTGTTATGCCTAAATGATTATTTATATTGTTTATTAACAACGTGCAGGCACCAATCTATTAGCAGGCAAATAATTTTTTAGAACAAAATAATTTAATGACTTTTTGAATAATTTTGACATTTCCTGTAATAGCCAATTCAACATTCATTACTAGGTAATTAATACAAAGACTAAATTTTATGATTTTTAATTTGATTTAAAAACTCTAAATGAATGTCCAATATGGTAGGTTAAGCATTTCAGAAGCTCACATACTAAACAAATACCTATTTCTCTACTTGAAAATCTTGGTTGGGTTTCCTTAACTTTGTGATACCTTGAGTTTTGTCTATTAGTATGTATAGGTACAATATATTTCAGTGGCAGAGTTGTATTTATGAATTTTAATTTCAATGCCAACACAAAACATAATAACGAGTGTATATGATAAATTTCACCTCACAGCTAATAGTCTAACATGATTACCACCTGGAATTTAAAAGGTTTAACATAAGTAACTTACAAAATAAATTATTATTATTGGAAGTCAAAGGTGACAATAAATATTAAATAGGTTTTGCTGTACCTACTTAAGTCATTGATTAAATATACAGGTACATTTAATCAATACTTATGTCTTGTCTATTGAATAATTATACAATTAATATAATTAAGTAGTATATTTATTATTTTAATATTTAATTTACAATCAGCCAAATCAAAAATATTTTTAAATAAATAATTTAAAAATTGCTTTACATAATTGCAGAGTGCAGACTGTAATAATATAATAGTTCATTATATTTTTATGACTAAAGAATATAAATTGGTAACAAAATACAATTTCAAATTTAATACAGTAATATCACAGACAAAAAGTAAAGAATATAACAAACAATTTATGGTACAAGTATCAATACTTTATAGACTAATTATGTTTGTATGATATTGTAGTAAGAAACAATTATTTAGTTACAATTTAAAATGTATATAATATTATGTAAATTCATATTTGTATTATCTTAGAGAAGTCATACATTTTTTTGTATTGCAGCTGAGCCAATGTTATTTAAGGTTGAAATATATTAAGTATAGAGTTTAAAAAATAGGTACTTTCTATGCTTGTTAATCATTAAACAAATGTATACTCTATACAACATATTTTTAATGTCGATAAGTTAGGCATTTTGTGATAAAATGTGTTCTGTAGTTTTCTATTGTTAAATTTTTTCTTATGTTATCTAGTTATTACTTGCTTCTTTTTGCATTGGTATTAAATCGTAATTTTTCAATGAAGTTATTTATTTTTTATTTTTTAATATTAAATTTGTATTATATGGGCATACTGATATTACATTATAATTTGTATTACTTAACATTATTTAAAACAACCAAAAAAAAGATACACTTTATTATTTCATGACTTAATTTAATGTGTATAATAATACATATTAAGTATAATTAATACTTATTACGTAAGTTTTAGTATGTAAATAAATAATTTGTTCAAATAATTTGTTACCTAAATCTTAAAATAATATTTATTGTTCTTTAATGTGTTAATGACCAGTTAGTTGATTTGGAGTTGAAATTTTCTATTATCCATTTTTGATCATCATTTTTTTGTTTACATTTAGTTACATACACTTTTCTGGTACTAATATCATGTTCCATACATCTAGGACTTTTCCCCTGGACAAGTTTCATTTTACCCTAAAATATTGTATGATAATTGAATAAAAAATAATATTTTAATTAAATCAGAAAATATACATGATCATAATGCCATAGTTGGTTTCCGCCACCATTATGGCATCCATATAAGCTGATTTTTGCTTTTAATGATGAGTCACTTATATCCAAACACATATTTTTTCTTGTTTTAATATCATTCCGCCAACTTAGAATAAATTTCTAAAAAAAAGTTACAACATTTAAAACATACTACCTAGTATAACCAAACCCTATATTTTCAAATTATTACTTGATTTTCATCATCACTATCACTACATTCTTTTAAATTGAGCGGGTTATCTGATGTAGCATCTAAACATAGCTCTGGAGCAGTAAAAGTTCTTATCTAAGACAATAAATAAAGCTAAATCAATTAAAGTAGATATGAAGTTACCATATAATAATATCTTTATAACTAGAATTCTAATCTTAAATTCTGAAATATAAGAACAATTCAAAAATATAACAATACAAAAAATCATTGATTAGTGCTCTTAAATATGAATGTATCCAAATCTTTTTTGTTGTACCTACAAAAATGTAGTTTATTCTTAAATATTAAATAATAAACAATTTACAAAAAGTTGTTGTGCTTATGCTTAGATAAAACACACTGGATAGAGCTATAGTGTTTATCAAGCATAGTCTGTGCTTGAGCAGACCTGTTAGGCCCCAATGTATTTATTGCACATGAGTCAAAAATGAAATAGGTAGAGCGAGATAGGGTGTATATTATCTAAGGTAGTGGTAATATAATTGCTGTTATATATTACTACAAGCACTTTATGTTTTGTGAATATGCAGTGGTGACATTGGAACCCAGTTGCTATATTTCAATACTTTAAATCATAGCTCTATCTAGTGTGTATCATCTAAGTGCACATTAATATTCATTTACCTTTCCTTTAAACACATCTGGTGGTTCAATAGGCGGATATTTTTCGACTAAATCAAATGCTACTTCATGCATGAACCATTTAAATGGATTGCATTTAAGATTTTTTCTTATTTTTTTCTGCTTAGATATATCTCCAGTATTAATATTCCTGTAATGTGGTCTACGCAGATACAAATATTCAGCATACTCATCCATCCACACTTCTGCTACACGGCGATAATTCTGGAACAATTTTTTTTTAACTTTATAAAATGACAATTGTTTATATAGTGATTTTAACATTTATAACATATTAATTTTTTTTTTAATCAAACTAAGAAGTAATAATTTTCTTACGTAAAAACAACTAAAAATTATTTAACTATAATTTAAGTATTAATTTAAATTGGAATATATTATATAATTCTCTATACACTGATAAAAACATTTTTCAAACAATTTACACATTTTGTTAAGCATTATATAATTAAATAAAATAGCAACGATGTATTCACCTTTCCAACAAAATCACCAATGCCAGGATTCGGGAACGGTGCAAACTTTCTATAGATATGGCCTACTCTTGAACAAGGTGCATCTAAAATAGTACCTCCGCATTGCCATATTTTAAATGATAATTCATACTGTTCTCCACCCCATATGTCTAGGCCAGGGTCATAACCTCCAAGTTCCCAAAACCATTTAGCCGATATAGCAAATAAACCACCTGCCATTACAGGGCTCCTATAAAAAA